TGAAAGTGTTTTATTATTTTTATTATAATTTTTGGTTTAAAAACCAGGGTACACATTTTTTTAATTCAATAATTTTTATGCACAAGTTAATAATTTGTATGCGATTGCAATATGAGCAAGTTTATTTCAAAATTAATTTTTATGATATTTTGACATTACAGTAGCAAGGGACAATACATCTTTAAATAATTATAATTTAGCTTTCATGTGAAAATTCGAACAAACAAGTATTTTCCTCAACAATCCACAGTATATAATTACCATTGTGTATGCTTTGTAAAGCCACTGATGGTATTAAATTAAGAATTCCAAAAACAGCGCAAGCTGGAGAGCTTCGATATCTTCATTGCAAGTAACGATTAATTTAAATTTAGCAACTTAATGTATTAAATTTAATTGTTAAATTAAAATATTGAAATGCAATACGAAGAAGAACAATACACGTCTACACATTAGGAACAAGTAGAAATCCTTGTTCGATTTGGATTAATTTTGATCAAGATGAGGTGTAACATTATCTTAGGTAAATCATACAATAGTTTTCTCTCGGATTTAAATATGAATTCGGTACTTTCACCGAGGCTGACGTTACAACAGATTGCGTGGGTTTTCATCATCCATGATCAGTTTGCAATCATTCATATTCTGTGAAAATTCAGTAATATGTGGTACAGTACTTCTAACTCGGTCAAGATTGATCACAATTACCTTGCTTGGAAAAACCAGCCTGGTTTTTGTTTTTTTTCAGCATGATTTTTCTTGGCTAAACATCTAAAAGCTAGCTTGGTTAATTTTCCTGTGATCGATTTTGCTTGGCTAAACTTACAGTGCAACTTGAGAGAATTATTACCAAGGCTATGTACTGATTAGTTTGAAAAAGAAGTAATTCTATTACAAATAAAATTGTTAACTAAATACAAATATTCTTTAAATAAGTTGTTGGGTGCAGTGGTGAAATTTGCATATTCAAATTTGGAAAATGGGGGAATACTGTACATGCAATAATTAATAATATAATAATAATATATAATAATATTTATTCGGCAAAGTAAAAAGTATACATACAATATTCTTGCCAGGAGTAGGCATAAGCCCAAACAGTAAACTGCTCTTACTCCATCATCAAAAACAAATACAATGACAATACAATATAAATATATACAAAAAAAATTAAAAAAGTAAATTCAAAATAAATTGATTTAACTATAACAAAATGAAAAACAGAGATAATTATTAGTTATTATTATTAACATTTTGAGATCAAGTGTTTTGTGAGCTGGGTTTAAAGTCCGAAATGGATGTACATTGTTTAATTTCATTAGGAAGTTTTCCCATAATCTAGGAAAAATAACAAAAGATGAATTTAAAAATGTATTAATTGCTTCATATTACAGAATTGAAATAAAGTAATAAGATGTTACCGAGAAGGACATCTATTATTTATAATGGACCACACTTATGGAACAATATACCTTTTAACCTTAAGTTAACACACACCTTAAAATCTATTCAATTCTTGATTGATATATGCATCTTAGTTTTCGTTTATCCTATAAAATAAATAGTGGATAACTTTTAAAAATACCATCCTCTTCATTTTATTCTTTTCTTTCTGATTATTATTCAAATATTTTACATGTTATATCCAGAAATGTTTCACTATCATTATCATTTGTTATTATTATTTGTTTGTTATTTTGTTGCATTCTATAGTACTAGCCATTCACTCAGATAATGTTTACTTGGAGGATCAGACTTAAAGCCTTCCTGGCATATTGTTTCCTCCACATACCATGAAAATTCACTGTAATTTACATATTTTTATCAATACCACGAAATTCTATTCTGACCATTGTTCTTAAGTTTATGAATCAATACCATGATTTATTATGCTCTTGTATTGTATTGGATGTTCATTGTGTGAAACTATAAAACTGAAACGTTAAAAGGAGAAATGCAAATTACTACAGTATAATAGTAAATGCAAAAACAAATTTGTATCAAAAGTTGAATGAAAAAAAAAACAGGTCAACAGCATACTGTATCTGCAAGATTGAGTAGTTAAAAAAGATAGATCCACCATTTTAATTAAAATTTTAAAGATGTACTGTCCCTTGAAAATGACCAAAATCATAACAAATTATTTTTAAATTAACTTGCTCATTTTGCAGTCACATCCAAATTATAAACTTGAGCATAGAAATTATTAAATTAAAAAAATGTGTTCCCTGATTTTTTAAATGGATAATTATAAAAAATTTAAAAAAAAATGAATAAAAAATATTTTTTATGGGTAAGCATTTTTTAAATACACTAATTTATATGTTCAAGTTGATAATTTTTATGTTACTTAAAAATGGGCAAGTAAATTTCAAAAATGAATTTTATGGTTTTTTTGTTTTTTGCAAGGGACAGTACATCTTTAAGACTTGAGTCTGAATTGACTTTCAAGGTCATACCTGACAAAGCATAAGATGTTGTTTATGTGCTTTAATTGCTATAAACTCAGAACTAAAATTGTCTGCAGTAATGACGTGTTCATAAAATAATATGAAAACTGATTCTATATCAACATTTAGTACATTCTGTCAAAAACATAAAATTGCATAATATGCATTCCAAGTAGAAATTAAAAACTATTATTATACTGTATGATGACAGTTTATTCAAGAAAATTGCTGATGAGTTTCAAGAATCAAATTGGATGTACTAAAATTGATATTTCATACAATTCAACATTAGCCAATTCACTATAAAGAGAAAAAGATAATCTCATTACCAGAACAGTTGCACCAACACTGTTTTCATGTCTGTCTACCAGCTAAGATAAAGCGTGTCAAAGTTTATCTTAGTTGTAAGTTGCTTTATGAGATTTCATCTACTGTAACTACCAGTATAAAGCATGTAATTATCAAACGCTGAACTAAACAATTATTATTCATATTTTGTTCATAATGCTCTTCATAATTACATGTATCATCATCATACTCAAAAGCATCATTAGCATTATCAATAGCAACGTCATATCGTCCTTGAATATTATCATCATTGACATTGTCATTATCATCATTGTCATCATCATCATCATCATCGTTATCATCACCGTCATCATCATTGTCCTTCATATTCACGATCATCTTCATCATCATCCTAATAGTTATCTTTTTCATCACCACCCCACAAAGTGTTTTGCCAAAAACATCCTTATGGAGGAGAAAATAAAAATAAAATTTTATTGCTGAACATAAACAGTGTAGTAATGGGATGGTTAAATGCATTAAATTTATATAATTAAGTAATTTTAGAAAGATATACATATCTTTTTTTTTAGATTTTAATCAAGGCAGTGGAGGGCATAATAAAACTTTAAAGAAAAAATAATTTTTGTAGCGCAGATAGGCTAATTGGCTGAAAATTTTATTTATTTTTATTTGAAATTATCATTATTGGCAGGTGGCAGGTTAACTAAACAAGGTATAAAAAGAACCTCGCCTTATACAGTACATCCTTCATGTCAATTTTTTATTAGTACAGTACCTAATACTACTAAAATATTTACAATAAGGTGCACATTTTCACATTGTCTTTATCAAAGCCCTCCTCATCTACATTATTTCTTTCTTAATTCCATAAAATTCATCTTCTGCAGCTATCATCAACAGAACATCCATTATCATTTACACATAAATGACTGTTAATGGTAATTGATGTTATTTATACTGTAGTTATTATTTTTATGACTGTTATTCAGGTCCATTAATATTATTAATGATTATCTCTTCCAAATTAACTTATGTTATTTGAATGCAAATTCCATTAAAGTACCATCATTTAAAAACATTACATGCTATTATTTAATGCTAAAGTATTGCGATTATTTTAACGACTATTTTTATATACATTTCCATTGTCCTTGTCACGGCCATTCCCATCATTAAGTCACCGATATTATCATTGAACATCATCTGTCTTCTCCTGTTATCATCATATTGATCGCTACAATCGTATTTACACCCACTGTCCCTTTAATTAATGCTGTTTTAAATACTACTGTTATTTTTATGATTATTCTTTAAGTTTATTTTACTGTATAATATTAATGATTACCCCTTATATTATCTTGTTATATGATTTATGTCTGTGCTTTTTTGTCCATGTGCCAGTGGTGTATCTAGCAATCTTGAAAAGATGGGGGCTGATAGGCGGGCGCGAAAGTGTAGTGGGGGCCCCTCAATGATTAGGTAGGGGGAGCTAGCACGCAAATTAAGTTGATTTAAGGTGATTTTAACTACTTGAGTGAGTATTTTTTTTGCCTTTTTTTAACTCATTCAACAAATTTTTTCTCCCCTGAGGGTCACATCATGTCCAATCGGCTGCCAAGAGGCGCACATCTGTCCACAACGACAGTGGCTGAATAGATCAGTACACCAGGGTAACATCCTACTCTTCGCACAAGAGGCTGTTTTGTACACCATGGGCCTACGGTTTAGAGTCAATCCGAGAAGATGTTCCACCACCTAAAATTATCGAGTGTGCCGTTCCAAAATTATGGTTGTACAGGTGGCAGCGTCCCTGTCTTAAAGCCAGGCCCCGGAGGAAGCACATTTTTTTTATATGTTTTACAACTTATTTTTCTAAGACAAAAAGTATATTTAATGGAAAAATCAGCAGCGGTGAATGAGATACAGATTTTCCAATATTTAGAAACTGGGAGAAAAAGGTGTAACCACCATTTTTGTTCACATTTTCCCGCAGTTTTTAAATATTCAAAAATGTGTATCGCATTAACCGCTCCCTAGTTTGTCGTCAAATATGGTTTTTGTGTCTAAGAAAAAATTTCTGCGGAGCCTGGCTTTTACCCATCAGCCATTTGACTTTCTGTAATTTGTACATCTATCAAAATTATTATGTTTTATATACAGTATGTTATATTTTATTATTATAATTATTGCTATTAAAATTAATAATTAGTACATGATTTTAATGTCTTTTCTTCAAAGCTTGTGATTTAGCAAAAGATCAGAAACTTAACTATGGCGATGACATTACTAGTGCTCTTCGATGTGCAAAGAAGAAACGATGGAATTTTCTGGAAGAGAAACGTATCCAACAAGATATTGAACTCCAATCATACCTCAATAGATTAATGATAGAAGATAAAGATAGGTGAGTTGCTTGGTTTGTGGCTCTACTGCTCCAGGGGAGTGTAGACACTTAGCTATTATCTCACTTGTAAGTTGTGAGAGTAAATATAAGGTTGGAGGAAGATGGGATGCGTCATAAAGCTAAAGGTACAAATAGAATGCCATGCCTAGATAAGGTCTGTCCTAGGAAGAAATAAAAAGTCAACAATCTGTTACTTATACAGTTATTCAAGTTAATTGCCAACAGAAAGCATGGATGAGATGTGAGTTAAAAGTATGAAAAAAAAACTATGCCAAGCAGTAGACACATATTTTTATTTTGTGCTATTATGTTGTTTTGTTTTGCAATTTCCTTTTACAATTTGTTATTGCCTTTCCATGCATATTCTTGTATCATGTTACACCCAAATGATTTCCTCTAATGCCAATTTTTTTTGTACTGAATTATTCCTTTTTCCTCTTATTTATATACTTAATTTATTTATATTTTTATTATTTTATTTTATACTTGATTATCTTTTATTATATTCTATTTTTTTTAGTACATAGTTGTTAATCATAATAACATTATGAACAAAGTTTAATGTGAAGTGAAAATAATACGCTAGAAACGAATAGAATGTTATAGTTTTCCCACCACTCTTAGCATAGCTACTGTAGTTGCAAAGGTAATTAAATGTATCGATTCAATTTCACTGTCCTTTTTTGATGCTTTTATATTTATTAGTTCTTGACAATCTAATCAGTCAAAAGTTCATCATCATCAATACGCATGAATGCAGAAACAACTCCAAAAAAACTAATTAACCATTGTTGACTCTATTCTATCTTGAGACAACTCTATTCAATATTTTGTGTTTTATCATCATTTACAGTGGAACTATTTCATATTTTGGAACAAATAGTAGGCCTCATAATGGATGCCATGTTGTATTCAATGTTGAATGTTTATTGTTTATTCGGTCCTTAGAGGATGGTCAATGGCCATTTTTTTTTTTTAATTCTTAAACAGAGTTTGTTGTCCTTTGCAAAAAGGTTATCAACGTTTGTACTATGATGGGATAATTAAAAAATCGAAACAGTTAAACCAGTGGCTGACCGCCAAGGCAAGCAAGATATGCACTGCGTACCCAGACTAAACAAATTAAAAAAAACTTATCAGTACAGTTTTTCTGTTTTATTTAGCATTTCTTAGTCAGAATCTTCTATAAAAACCTTAAATTTTTCGAGTGGAATGCTACAGTTCATTGGAATAGCTAAGTTTTTCAATGTTGGGCCTACTTTGGTATCTACAGTAGGATAAGTCACAGTTGGACCTATTTATGGGGGTAGGAAGGTAAAGTGGGGATCAGTGATTAGGTGAGGGGCTGACACGCAAAAATAAGGTGATAAGATTTAAGGTGGTTTTTAACTACTTGAGTATGATTTGTGGGCGGCGCTGCGACTGGGGGATGGGTAAGTATTTTTTTCAGGAGGGTGGGGGCGTGTGCACCCCTTGCACACCCTATATGCCAATACCTAGTATAACCTGCAATTTACCCTATGGTCCGCCACTGGTTATAACAAATGACAGAGTGAATGAATGAGAAGATGATTGATTGTGTTGTTGTATACAGTAGAACCCAGTAACACTCTGCCCACCAAGCACGGAGATCTCCATGTTTGGTAACATATTTAATTTTTATATTTTGCTTCATCGCAATTGATGAATGGAATAAATTACCTTATAATGTTCAAAATTCACAATCCATATATACTTTTAAAAACTCATAAAAAGCCATTATTTATCTGAACTTTATTCACATAGCTTTATTTATATGATGTCTTTTTTTGATTATTGAATTTGACTTTGTTGTTTTGATTATGTATTATTCTGTAATTTAAGTATTCTCATTTAGGGACCACAGTGGAAATAAGTTGCTTTTTTGTACTTTTCTGTGTTTTTATCCTTGAATGTATTTTACTTATAATTACTTCAGAATGAATAAATAAATAAATTAAATAAAATTTGCATAATTACCCATCGGTACTGACATCCGGGAGACAATTGATATTAAAGTACTAGTGAAAATATGAAAATATCATGCGTTTGCGAGAGACAGGTTATTTTCCGGGAGATTCTTGCTTACTTGCGGGAGTCTGGGAGGCCGTACCGTTTTCAGGGAGACTCCCGAAACTTCGGGGAGACTTTTGTGACCTTTGCATGGGTCCGGTGGCATGATTACCATTAGGCCTACTAAAGCAAACACAACATAAAGCATTCCCGGTAGGAGAAAATGAGAAGCTAGACAAACCCAGGTCTGTACATTATGCATATTCTGTTTCATTGGCGATAACAATTTATGTGAATGAATATAAAATCGACACCCTGGGCTACTACACAGTGAAACATATTTATATCTCCCATAAAAATCGGGTAGGAACGTAGTTTTAGTTTATAACATCGTTGTATCCTGTAGTTAGTGAGTGTATGCAAGAGACATACAATATCTTTATAAATAATTATTTACATATTAAGCTCAGTGCATGTTTAAGATAGGTATAATAGATTGGTTTTAATAATAAAGGAGATATTTAAAGGAAATTTGAGGAATGAGTAGAAAGTAGAAGGGTTTTATTTAAAAAATAAGAGATAAATTATGTGATGGATACACTGTAACTTAAAATTTTGTTGATCAATTTATATGTACAGTGATTATTTGTTTTAATTTAATTATTTGTTTTAATTAGTTGAATGGCATTGGAAGAGTTAACATGAAATTGCCCTACAGTATTGTTATTACAGTAGTTGCAGCGGGGAGATAGTGAATCAAGATTAACAAAAATGAACCGTGCTAGCCCAATTTGTAGTTCTATGTTTAAATGGTCCTGCCCTTTGGGCACTTATTAAACTAATTGATCCGCATAATAATAAATTCTCGTTCACATAATTTCTTGCAATATATTCACATAACTCTACAGTTCACTACAGGTCATATTCTTGTCCTAGCTTTGCCAGCAGCCTACCAATTCAGAGAAGTTTGTTTGAATAGTGAAGAAGCACAATTAAAACAAAATGAAATTATGTGGATTGATTTGAGACACATTTAATGTTGACGTTGAAGCTGGACCTTGCAATGGTGTATCACAAAAATCATTATCTCTTGTAAATGGCCTTCATAATTGGCGGTTTGTTTCATTTCTTGTACCTTGGGGCAAGCATTGGATCTGTGTCACTTATAGCTCTGAAGTGCATTAGAACCTTGCTTTGATGGGCTTGTCCCTTTGTAAGGATGAACCGACATAAATGAGCCTGTTGCATTTATGCACATGTAACTACAAACTAGAATTAGAATTATGACCATATGGTTTTAATTAAAGTAGAATTTATAATGTTTGCTAAAATATGTAGCATTTTAATACACAATAGTCATTTGACCTTCTTCATTTAGTGAAAATTAAATGTGAAGAGTGAAAACTAATCTCGGATATTCTACCAGCTGTACTATTTCGACTCTATGGCACCATAGTCTTCTGGTGGAGCACTGCAGTATTGTGTCCTTTATCACATTATTTAATTATTGTTATATGACCACAGATCATACCTCTTGTCTACTACTTGATTGGATTGAGATTTTTTTTGTGAAAAACTACAAAAATATAACTTACAGAACTTATTTCCAGTAAGGTTTTTCTGATGGTCAGTTGGATAGACACTAAGAGGTAAAGAGTGCTATGTTTTTTAAGTAATAATAATGTTGACTTTAGAGCGCATATACAGTATTGTATGACTCTATGCTCTTAACACAAACATGAAAAAAAAAAGCAGACCAAGAAAGTAATACCTAATCTCACCCAAAGACCTTCTGATCCTACCCATCAAGCATGGTTGGCCGTTGCATGACTCAGTGGAGCTCATTCACCCTTTGTTATTTTTAAGTCCATCCATCATTTTACATGGGACAAATGTGTTAACCGGCTTTATCATATTTTTTAGAGGGTGACCCTTCCAACATATCCTAGATGGTCAGCTGATTTTCAAATCAAAGTGAATGGGGCCCACTTATCAAATAAAAAAACATGATGCCTTAAAGTGAAGCATCTTAACCACCAAGCTATTCAACTCTACTTCATGTTTATGGCAATCATTGCCACTTTTGCCTGACTATCAAGCTAAATATTAGAATTTATTCCAAAATTATACAAAAGTTGTATTCATATTTATTTTAATATTCATAATTTACTGGCATCCCTTGGGAATTTCAACACTTGCAATCACTTTGTTGTATGCGTTCTTCCATTAATGATCTGAACCACCATGGTTAATGCGTTTCTGCTCGGCGAGGTAATTTTCTTGATGTACAACAACTCAACCATCTCCGTGATTCATCTAACAACTTATGCACTATGATTCCAAACTTGTTATTAAACAAATTTCTAAATCAACCAGGATACTATAAGAAACATGAGAAAGAACCGAAGGAGACTAATCAACATGTCCCTCTTACCTTTACAAATAAAAACTAACAATGCTTCATTAACAAATTGAATTATACTACTAAATAGTGACCCTGTTCTCGATTATCCAAAAACAAAGCCCATTTTATACAGATATCCATCTACATCAGTAACTGCTACACTACTGTACTACACAACTACTCCAATCAAGCTGCTGATAGTCGTATTTATTCGTCTTCTACTTGATTACTAATTACTCGCTTGTTTCTCATTGTTTATTCCTCACTGAATTGGTTAATAGATGATAATTATGTCATGCACTTTTTTTTAGTTTTCATTGTTTTTCCCTCCACACATTTAATGAAGCTGGCTTTAACTGCCAGTAAAAACTTGCGCTGTATAAATAAACATACAGTAAGTTTTAGTCTCCGAGCCTACCTCTTTTTTGCCAGGTATTGTGTAATTTTTAGACTATAGATTTACATAATTATGTAGGATATAAATCAATTTTAAATCCTTAATCTCAATATAGTTTCAACGTATTAATTATATGAGTTGAACAAATATCGCTTGATTTTTCACTCTCATAATGAAGGAGAATACGTATTAAATGACCTAAAGAGCGAATATACCAATCCACAAGAGTAATGTTGAATATTTTGTCGTATCAACGACACATCAGCCACTAATTCCTGTCTCAGTTGCTGATGTGTCGTTGATACGACGAAATATTCAACATTACTCTTGTGGATTGGTATATTCACTCTTTAGGTCATTTAATACGTATTCTCCTATATTAATTATAGCCTCTGTCATTTTTTTAAATATTATTTGTCATTTTTTTAAATATTATTTTTCTAATGACATGAATGTTGCTCTTTTCATTTTAGGAAACTCAAACTTGCAGAAGATGGGAGTAAAATCACAGATTCAGAGAAACTAAAGGAAAAAGTACAATTAGAACATGTAGGTATATGATATCATCTTCACTTCATTTCGGCTCATTCCAATTTGAAATTATTAGACGTCAAATACTCAATACCTATTGAGCTAAACATGTTGTCTCCTACAAGTATATTGTTTAAAATGTTGATAATGTTGGGGTTGTTCAACATTATCCACATTTTCACAAGTGTACAAAGTACGCTAGGGGAGGGGGAGAGGTTAGACAAATTTTTACACTTTCAATATGTAAAATAATGGTAACATTCTAATGTAACAATGGATTTTTTTATTCATTTTTTTAGCAAACAAGTACATTGCTTTAGTTGACTTCACAAAAAAATAAAGAATGATTTTGCAAAATGAACATTTTTTTGTACACTTTCAGAAAGGAGGGAGGGGTAACAAAAAAGAGTCGTATCGTAAAATTCATGAAACAATGATTTGAAAATATGAATTCACTGATGATATGATGTATTGTATGTGAGTGGCTGTATGTAAATTATACTTTACCTTGTTTCCGTAGCATGCGGTATTGTCAACACAACCGAACTCTTAAAAACTTCTGTCCTTGTTGTACATTAAGATAGGCAGAGTAAGTTTATAAGAAGTAGTATTTACATTGTAAAATTGAAGACTCTAGTATCTTCTGATGAACGTGCTCAACAACCTACAAAAGTTTTCACATGGGAAGGATGTTTTGGACAGCGGATTCTATTCTTCCTCTTAAACTTTTTTGGAGAAGTACATGCTGAAAATATTCCTGCAGACCATCCACCTCAGCTTACGGTTTTAGCAGGCAGTGAATTTGTTTATGCCAAGTTTGCAGTTGCAAGTAGGTTTGAATAATGGCAAGTGGCTTCTAGTGCCTAGTTCGGGGTGAGAGTAAATTTTTGACAATTGCCTGTTTTCAGGGGATGTATTGAAGCAAATCCAATGATGGCTACTGATTACAATGCTTTATGAGGATATTAAACAGGATTTTGTATTTCAGCCTGCATTCCTAACTGTATTTCCAATTTACATTAAATGTCTAAAATGTAAAAAAATATCTGTGGAACATGTTTTGATTAAACATTAGATTCAAAACCACTAGAAAAAATGTTTCGGTCTGTTTGAACATGGAGGAATTAGAAATACTAAGAAAACAATCAGGGAAGAAAAAGTTGCAAGTGTATCTGCCAAGATTTCTGACCTATTTACAGGCAGAGTTGAGGAGCTGTCTACTAAGTTCAGCCTCATCGTCAGTGTCTTTATGAGTTGTCACTCATTGAATGTTCATCGTAATACCACAGGGGTCTTGCGGCTTGGAAGAATATGGCCTTTGGTGATAGGCTTTGTCCTCCCAACCAAGTGTTTATATGCTATTCGCTTCGTTTGTGACTTAGGGCAATTGCATTGCTAATAACATGCATCTTTTGCCGTTTCAATATTGCAGTAGCGTTTATGAGAGATCATAATAATCAACGTCATTTCAACATGGTAATCTCATTCGACCAAATGACTGTCCTATCTAAGGCAGGGATCAACACACAGTCAAGAATACATAGCAATATAAGTGAAATAAATAGAAATCAGAAAATACAGTAGACAAATCTGATTTAAAGTTCAAATAGATGTATCATCTTTGGAAGTGTCCTGTTTAACTTTATATTTGTATCTTATTAATACTATTAGGTCTTTTTAGATCTTTTTCATCTGGCTCATGTTCATTTAAATTATGATATCAATGATTCATGGCATTATTTTTGTTAGTGGTCTATAAAAAAAAAAATAGAAGTAATCGTAATGAAAATAAACCTTATATAAATACTGTAGCAATAAAATATACTGTGCACAGAACCAAAGGTAATATATACTGTATAACATATGAATTATCATTGTATGAATACATTATTTCAAATTGTGAAAGGCGGTGTGGCACAGAAGCTGAGCTGAACTAATGAAAACGAAATGCTTAAATTGAAATTTAGAGATTAACTTCATTGTAATGATTTATTTCCCTATGAAATTACTAAGTTTTGTTCACTAATTAGGAGAGTGTTTCATGCTCCAGTGCTTTTCATAGATGACTTATTCAGATATTTCAAGAACCAATCACAGCAGGAAAATATTTTTTTTTTAAAGTCATCGTAATTAGTTCATTTTAATATTAGTATTGATATTATTCTGTACTTTTTCTCATTGGAACGATATCGCCTTTGGGCTCGCGCTGCTGAAACTCAATTTCAGCCACTTTTCATCATCAATATTGTAATAAGACATAATAGGCTTCGAATCATCAACTATATAGTACTGTCTAGAGTATGTAATGCTCTAATTGGCATGTATTACTTGATTAGGTAAGAAAATTATCATTGATCGTTGATATTCCAATATGATTCAATGTAGTTTTTCATTAGTATAACTCAGCCTCAATTATGTCCCGTAAATTCTGATAATCATGTTATTCTGACGTTCTGCTATCCGTTACCGTATGTTGAGGCATGGCTTAACTATTGTTGCATCACCTAGGAGTATAAAGGATTAGATGACAAAATTCAATACGGTAGCCATAAAATGGATTGTTAAATGCTCAGTGCTGTACTTACGTACCACACAAACTGTTACTACTTTGCGGGAAAAAGATCTATCACGTCACGTTTATCCGTGATGGTTTACATGTGCACTTCGGCCAGAGTCGTAAAACATATTGACACTTGTATAAAGACATGGCTACAGTTGTGGATTAATTTTGACAGGAAAAATTAAGTGTGTGATAACAAATCTGGCATTTATAATTCTAATGTATTAATTGTTACCATTAAGAGAGACGTTAATAACCATGATTTTACAGCCCCTGACTCAAGCACTGATTTTAGATATTAATAATGATTACATTATCGTCTCCTGATTTCAATAACTTTAGAATGAAATAAACAATATAAAATTGATGAGAAAATAATAATAAATCAATTAAAATTATACTGTCGTCTTGAATACTGTGGAATGTACAGTATATTCTTCTTGAAGAGCGCCCTCATTGTCATTCAAGGAAAAGAGATAATGTTTGTTGCTGGAAGCATTTTAATAAAAGATATTTTTACATTTTCAGAAACAAACATTTTTTTTTCCAGGAATCGTGCCATTTTCTACTGGCAAATGTCAGCATTACATTTAAGATTGAAGCCACATAGTGTGGACACACAGAATGTTCACACAAGGTCTGACACGTATCAGGCTTCATTCATGCGCAGCTTGAGCATGTCTGAACGTAGCGAGGGGATAGTAGCGATGCAAATTGTCTACAGGATCCATAATGTCTACATCCTTAGGCAAACACTGGATACTTAGCAATCCAGTGTATTGTTTATTCTAATCGTCATGGCTTTGTTTTTAATACTGATTTTTTTTTTCTTCTATATTTAGGATAAACACATGACAGAAGTAAATTCATTGTTTGCACAAGTAGACGAACGAAGAATGGTGAGACAAGTTTTATATTTTCATTTCAACGATACACTTAAAATTGAATAATACTTATTCGAACAGTTTGCTATAATGGAATATCTGATGCTTCAGTGTTTATATAGGTAATGAGTCAATTTGCCATTTAAACATGAGCATTATGAAGATAAAGATCATCTTCATCGTTGTCTTGATGACAACGATGGCATCATCAGCGGCTACAGCAACAATTGATAAGGTTGATGATATGATTCCGATGTCACGTGTCTTACTGAGTTTCAAGAATCTGGAAATTAGAATGTTCTGCCACAATTAAGCAATATTTTCTGGAAACTAACCTATCCTGCAAAATTAGAATGCATGTTTTTTATTTTATTCCTTACCAAATTCCGTTAATTGTGCATAATGACTGCCAATAAAATTGGCTTTGCCACAAAAAATGATTTTAGAAAAACGACTACTGTATTTTGTGTATTTATTTCTTTCTTTACCTATTAACTCCTTTGCTAGACACTGCCATAATTTGAGTACCTGTGTGTCATGTTTCAGCAGGTTTCGCATTCGGTTGCTTTAATTGTTCTGTGAGTCTAGATTCATGGTATAATTTCTTGTCCGTTTCCTTTCCTTGTTGTCAAGTGCCTTGTGCTTGATTCAACAGGAGGCGCTATAAATTATAACATCAATATTTATGTATTGTAAATATTATTCTAGCTGAGCGGAAGTTTGCAATATTCATGATGATACTCTGAATGTGGCCTTCGGATGAAGTGAATTTATATACAAAAATGTTTAATATTTACAAAATGAGCATTATAAGTGTGCTGCGTCTAGGAAAATTCATAAGTACTCGATTTTCAATTCAATTCAATCATTCCTTTTCTTTCAACTATCAATTAAAACTGTAATTGAATTATACAAATTTAAAAGACAATAAATAAAAAGCACATCAAAACAACAACTGGAAAATTACAACAAAAAGAAAAACTAAAAAATTACCTCAAAAAGAAACCCTGAGCCACTCAGACGAGAGGAGCACCCACCAGTTTTGGAACAGACCAACATTTACTGAAAATTTGTTTATACATTTGCAGCTTCTTTAAAATGAAAACCATTTTCTATCAAGTTCCAATGTCACTGTTTCATCTCCCACCTTTTAAGGACATGTCTATATCTTCTTTCTTTTATATTCTGAGTTCATTTAGTGTCTTTCATAGACCAGCTATTGAAAGTGTCAAAATCAGGAAATCTGTATTCAGGCTTAAAGATTGCAAAAAGCCTTGAGGTGGAATATAAAAATAGCACATGCAATAAAATATATTTGAAGGTTTGTGGAGAGTATTAAAATAATAATCAATTCAGATATGAAAAAAAAAATGGATAAAAAATACTTTTATTTAGATCTCATATTTCTTTTAGATTCATTAAGATGTGTTCCGAGTCTTAGTAGTAATAGAATGAATGTCATTCCAATATATCTACAAGGATTTTTATTTGACGTTGCGCTTTAATTCCTAATGATGCAAAATGTTGAATAATCTGGTCATGTCAATTCTAATTATCTTAATTTCATTTCTCTATTCCTCTCTCTGTGGTGTAAATTCATTTCTTATATTATTTTCTCTCAATGCAATAAATATTTTCATCATTAATACTATTAAATGTTTTTCAATACAATGATTATTCAGTATAATATAATCTTAATTCAACAAATATACAAATATGATACAGATATGATAACATTAAACAGTTGTCCCAAGTCTTCCCGGAAGTCGCGGAGTCTCCCGGAAATCAGGTAGGCCTCCCACACTCCCGCAAGCAAGCAATAATCTTCCGGAAAGTAAACTACCTTCCACAAATTAACGAAATTTGCATGTTATTACCAATTTCTAATATTTCATTTCACTAGCGCCAAAGATATGCCAGTTTAGTGAACTTAATCACTGTCCTACGTGACATCCATTTAACAACAGGAGACTTAATGGACCCGTACACTGGGGTAACCCCCTACTCTTTTCGAAGGATGTACTGGGATCTTTAAAGTGCACACGAGCCAAATGCGTACACTAGGCTTACGGTTTAAAGTCCTTATCCGAGAAGACTTCTTCCACCACCGGAACCATTGGCGAGTGAGCCGTTTGAACCAGCGCGATATTGATACTTGAATTTACTGATGGTTTAATGGGGTTTTTTTTAACAATTTTTTTTTGTGTAAAAAACTTGAATTAAATATCTGGATATTGACAGTCCAATAGGTGGCCTGGCTGATATTATACATGACTAAAAATAAATTGTTAGAAAATGAAATAATAAAGATGATCTATACTACTGACTGATATGAATACTGAAGCAACAATTGCTTAAAAGCATGATACAAGTTTGTCTCCTAAAGAATTAATTCAGATAATTCAAACCAATTGTTTGAAATATTCAAATTGTACAAATAAATAGACCACATTTTCTTTTAAATATTATTTTTACTATGAATGCATATGCTTGATACTTTTTAGTCATATTTTAATATACAAGTGTCATTACCATTGCCTCTAAATGAAACCAGTACAGAAAGCATATATACTTAATAAGTAATTACTAAATTTCCTGTCCTAATTATTTTTATTCCATTTTTACGAAGATTAAGACGGCTTGTACATTCCTATCTAATTGGTACTGGTACAGTATCTGGTAATGCTATGCAAAATCTGAAAGCATCTAATGAAAGTAATGATAAGTAATGAAAACAAATGCAACAAGATCAACCTACATGTAAGAGAACTAAGATAATTTGAAATCCATTGACCATCGGACATTAAATATAGCGATTATTTATAAAGCCCCTCTGGCAGAATTATTATATCCCAAAACAACAACTGCATTTGTTAATATGCCTGATGGATCCATTTTCGTAGTCAAAACAAGATATGAATATCGTGTTGATGAAGAGGAATATAGATGAATTTTATTGATCATGATTTATCAATTCTTGTAGAAATTCATGGCCATACAGTAAGCCTGAAATTAATATAGAAACTGTTTTTCTTCCTTGTGATTTAAATTAGTGCCTTGAATATTAAATTAGGTGATGTTTCATTGAATGCTATTTGCATAAATTACATTTAAAAAAAAAGAAAAGTAAAAATATTGAAGGGAGATAGGCAACAGAGGTACAAGTATAAGAAGTGTGAAACATGAAAGGAAGTAAAATATGTTTTATTAAAAAGTGGTAAGAGGTAGGGTGGAAACAGTAAAAGAGGAGTAAGTAGCTAATAAAGTGAGTAAAACTGCAATAATCTATGAATTTAATGTCCCTATACTTACAAAATATAATAATAGAGCAAATTAATTAATAACGACAAACATGTTATCGACAACACAGAATACAGTACGTGCACAAACATATAAATTGAAATTGCGTGGTGTATTTAATATATTTGACAATTGAAATACTGTAGCATGTGTTCTTAGTTTCTGTTGAGGGTGCACTTCCAATCTTTCTAACTTCTTGATATTCTTACAGTTGTTGTCTATTTCAACCAAACCATTACCACACAAATGTTGTCACTAATTGGATAAAAATATACAATTTATTATTAAATTTTATTAATTTTATGCTTTAAATTTTGATTTTGAAATTGCCAAACACCATTTGAATTCAACTCTATTTTGATTTGAAATATTTGCCAAGTTCCAATCCTCGAGTGGAGGCCTATAATGCTCCTCTATTGAAGCACATGTTGAATTATCTGACCATCCCTTTTTTTAAAGTATACCTGCATCAATGGAAGTTTTTATAAATCCCTTTTTCACCTTCCATTCAAAAAAGTATAGTTAAAATGCTTAACTTCTGACCTGGAAAACATTAGCAAGACTTAGACCTCTACTAAATGGCAGAATTGTGATACTTTTAATTTTAACCTTGGGGAAAGCAATGATGTTTTTGCATTAATACAAAAATTGATGTTAGCTTTAGCTTTACTTGTCTTTTTTGAGAAGATTTTCCAATCTTCTACATTCATTTTTACTAACATGACTGTTGTAAATGGAATCGTAAGTGATAGATTCCATCAATTATTAAATTGTTTAGATCCATTATTCAAGATTTGAGTTACAAAAGAAAAACTTCTCAAAAAAAGCCTAAAGCTGACCCGAATTTTCTGTTGAATTTTATAGTAAGAACATTTCTAAACAGCTTATTTACAAATTTCTCTGTTTAATATTAAAAGACTCTTAAGGCAGGCTCAGGTCATTCACAAAACTGGAAGGAACTTAATTCAACTGGTCGACATGAGCGCTCTATACAACTGAACGGCACTCAATGAAACTAAACTCAAGCTTCAACGTTCCTTTCAGTTGCGTGGAGTGCTCATGTCGACAAGTTGAGTTGTGTTCCATGTTGACCTGAGTGCATTGAAGAACAAGCCACGTGTGAACAATTGTTATTGACAACACGTCAGCTGAATTTATAAATTTATAGGAATAATTCAAATAGAGGGACTTATTGTAGTGTTCCATACTTTTATCTAATACCAAATCTGGGGGAATAAGGTGTAAAAATGGGCAGTTACGCAACTTTTTTCCCCAGTTTTTAAATATTAAAAAATCTGTGTCTCATTCACCGTTCCCCAGTTTTTCGTCAAACAACTTTTTTCTGTCTTAGAAAAATCAGTTCTACAACATATCAAAATTTTTTTTTCCTCCGGAGCCTGACATTAAGATCTTTCTCAATTTGTGCTTTTAAAATATCATGCCTAAAAGTTTTTGCAAAAATGACAGTAAAGCTATTACTTTTCACAGTCATTGCAAAATAACGTAAATTGGGATTTGAAGTGTATCTTGATTTGTGTATTCAAAACTTGTTAAGCTTGGCAATGATGTGTCACCATGTGTGGAAGTTAATGATGTTGTCCCCAAGGGTCATGATTTGGACCCATGTTATTTATCATCTTGTCAACACTCTTAGAGGGGGTGCTGTGCCTAAAGTGTATGGACAACACCTCCATCTATGAGTGCGTTGGCAGGGATCCGACAAGTGGGCTCCAAACCATTCTTAATGAGACAGTTGAGTAGGCAGTTAACTATATCATGTCTCTTAACATTAGGAAGATGAAGGAAATGAGGGATAGAGGTATAAGGTCCAAGTCTGATTTTGAACGACTTCTTATAGAAGAGCTATCTGGATGTTCTTTTACATGTTTAATTATTATAATTGTCATGCCCGTTTAGAATGATACATATTTATTTGCATAAATGCCCTTTGAATAAACTCCACCCTCGAATAAACGCCCCCTTCAGAAACCCACTTGAAATAAACGCCTACTGTACCTTGAATATGCCCTGGGCATTTTTATTTTCCTTGAATAAGCACACCCATATCCTCCTTTCTCCCCCTCCCCCTTAAAAAGATTGACTATTAAAAAAAATGAATGGAAGCATCATAATTCTCAACACTTTCTATGTTATACTCCTGTAGAATTACATTCTCTCTAAACCTGTTGTGGATCAATATTTTTTATGATCACACAATAACACATTTTGGCACATATTTTCCACATTTAGAGTGAAATTAAAGGGGAATTATTGGAGTTACATCCATTTTCACAAAAAAAAAATAAACACCTCATTGTAATAAGCGCCCCCAAACCCTTCTCAACAATAAATGCCCCGGGGCGTTAAATCAATAAATGCGGTATGTCGTTCCAGTTTTTGCAATGTAGTTCATCTCTTTTTCAGTAACTTTTTATAGTAGTCCATTTCATTTTCATTGTTTACTTCAATTAAATGCTACATGTTGTTTTTTTCACATAACATATTTATATTACTGTATATTAAAAATTAATTTATACTTTTTTTTAAATATTTCATAGAAACGAGACGTTCCTGATTATCTATGTGGTAAAATAAGTTTTGAGTTGATGCGGGAACCAGTAATAACAAGAAGTGGCATTACGTATGATAGGAAGGATATTGAAGAACATCTTCAGGTAAGTCAAGGCATTGGGAGGGAGGGGGATGAGGTGGGGGGGCCCTAGATTGTGGGGAAATGGCTACATTCAGTGACGCTAAATGATTAATGTTTTGTCGAGAGATGTTCCCTTACTATTGTGCATAGTCCCCTGGAAGAATTGGAGTTAATAGCAATTTTAATATCTCATCTAGAATTTTTTTACTGTTAGCAAGAGGAGAGCTATTTATTTATTTTTATTTTATGTTATCAGAATGTTAATATAATACTGTACACAGGGGGATCACCCATAATTTTCAATTTTTATGTTATCAGAACTTTATTATAATACTGTACATGGGAGGGGGCATCCATAATTTTAAATTTTTACAAGAGTACAAAATATACTGTAGTCTTTTCTGTGCCCTCCCCCCTCCCTTCTCCTGAAAGCATACACAATAAAATGTTCATTTGTATCATTTTGACATTCCCATTTTATGTTTCATAAAAAAAAAGTACTGATGCCTACACTTTTAACCTCCTCCCCCGTATGTTTTGTATTCTTTTAATGTTGAAAATTATGGAGGCCCTTGTAGCAGCTACTACGGCTGTTTTACATATTGGCATTGGGAATTTATGAAAACAAAATGTTGTGTATAATGTTACACCTGTGATCGAGTAGCATTAGTGGTGTTTAATGACACAGTTAACTAATGCCAAGTACAGTAATACTTATGATTAATATATTATGTACAAAGCTTCATCGCTATCATGTTTTCTTCAGGTCACATATTCATTCAAGCTTCCCCTAAATATATTTTTTAATATATCACTTTAGGGTGTTTATGCATGCCACATGTATTTGTGATTTATCTATTCTATTATTGCATAATACCCTGATAAAAGGTGTGTCTTATGGAAAAATTTAGTAGTGTATCAACCTGGTCTCATAAGTCAGTCAGTAGAGCTTAATCAAAGTATTAAACCTATAAATTTAAGCAGTAGTAAGCAGTAGTCAGCAGTATCCTTGTATCTAGGAGTCTTGAGCTGGGGGTGTGGTGGGGGTGCAGAGGTGAAGCTTAGGGAAGCTCGATGATAAGGTGAGGGGGTGCTAGCTTGCACAATAAGGTGCGGGGTGCTAGCTTGCCAAAAAAGTGGTTTGGCGGGTGCAGGAGCAGGAGTGATTTTAAACTACTTGAGCGTAATTTGTGGGGGGGGGGGGGAAACTGGGCCACCGGTAGTCTGAAAGTCATGGGCTCGAATTTTGATAGGAAGAATGGTTTCCTAAAAACATTCCTACTCATAGTCTAAGATGTTATAAAAATACTAAAAAGTAATAATTATTTTTTAAGGTAAGCAATGTTATAAAAATACTAAAAAGTAATAATTATTTTTTAAGGTAAGCAATTGGAATGGCTTTTGCCTTTGTAGTAAAGAGATGAAGGTAAGGTGGATGCTTGCTGATTTTTTGCGGGGGAGGGGGTGGTGGGGCCTGGAGGGGCCTGGAACTTCACAAAACTCTTCACTATGTTAATATACTATTCCCTGCTGGGCATTTACCTCTGTATTTCTGTGTCAAGGCTTTTGGAAATAAAAACAAATTAATGCATGCAATTGGATTATGAATTGCAGATTTCATCATTGAAAGAAATGAAAAACCAACATACTGCTGCATAATTTGTCAGTCTACATGTAGCGTTCAATCTCCCTGGCTCTCATTGATCGTGCTTGCTTATATATGTAGGGGATGTTTCATCTATCTCTGCTTTCAGCTTTAACAAAAAAAAAATCATTAAAATTGTATAACTTTTTTTTTGGTTCTGCTTGCTGCGTAACAACTGAATGGAAAATATATATTTTAGATCAAAAAAAGAAAAGTAATATAATTTATTTTCAGTTTTAAAGAATTAGGTTAAAGAGAAATTTTAACTAGTGTGGTGAAAGAAAGATATCCCTGCACTAAAAAGTAAGACCTGTGTCTAGACAGAAGAGATGAGGCGCCACCACTATCCTGATTGATTTATGTCATGTGATGGTCATGTGGCAGATGTCATTGATGAATGATTGACACATATTATCTATATTGGTGTGAACTTATTCATAGATGCATGGATTACTACACCACCAAAGCTGCATAAATTAGTCAGGTATTAGAGGTAGATAATGGTCGTCCTGGTTCAGACCGAAAAGTGGTTGCTGAATAGATTAGATATTTTTGTTTATACTAGGCTCTGACATGGATGATATGGAATACCAAATAAAGTGAGACTAATGAATATTTATTGATTCTGACTCCTGAACATGGATGATATGCAAAACCAAATGAAGTGAGATTAATGAATGCTTAATGATTCTTACCCCTAATCATGGATGATATGGAAAGCCCAATGAAGTGAGATTAATGACTACTTATTGATACGGACCCCTAAACATGGATGATATGGAAAACCCAATGAAGTGAGATTAATGACTACTTATTGATACGGACCCCTAAACATGGATGATATGGAACTAATGCTATATTGTAGTTTATGACTCTTTATTGATCCTGACCCCTATTAACATGGATGATATGGAAAACCTAATAAAGTGTGATTAATTACTATTTATTGATTCTGACCCCTAAACATGCATGATATTGGAAAGTTGAAAGAATGAGATACAGTCATGAATTTATTATATGGAAAGCTAACAGTCAGATGAATGTTTGAATGAGCATATAAAAGATTATTTTTTTGCTTTTTTAACACCCCATTGGCTGGTAATCAGTTTTAGTAATTTTATAGTATTAACTCTAATTTAGTAAAACTGTTTTTTATTTGTGTTTTATTGAAAGTTAATGACTTATTTGGTTTTTATTTTGTTCTTGTGAAAACATAGTGAAACACACCAATTGTATTGACGTAACAAAAGTCTGAAGCCTTATTTCCAGATTGAGTCCTTCAGGTTGTGAATTGTGAAAGAAATCTTTTCTTGAAAGTGTCCATATAGCCAATTTTGCACAAAGGATGACATCTTCAGTGGCTTAAATGTCTTCAAGGAGAGTCTTAATAGTGATTCAGTTCGCTTTTAACAGTCCTTGGCATTCATATTTTTTTATGTTCATTTCTTGTTTATGTGTATTGTTATTGATTCAGTTCGCTTTTAACAGTCCTTGGCATTCATATTTTTTTATGTTCATTTCTTGTTTATGTGTATTGTTATTGTCATTTTACTGCCGAAATTGAATAAATCAAATAAAATCTTCGCTAAAAGAACATTGTTGTATTTTAACTGGCACTTTAGCCCTCCAGTCGAAACACAAGAAGATTGATAGCATCATTAAAATTAAATCAGTTGACCGATCCACAAGTGGCTACCACTAGTATAGTTGGCTGAAGGCTACTTGTATTTATGGATACTTTCAAATTGAGCATTTTGATTTTTGAAGGTTTTTTTTTATATGGATTATATAATAAATAGTGGTGCATTTTAGTGAATGACAGATTGGATATACTGTATGTCAGAGTTCATTTTATATAAGATAAGATAAGCTATCCATGATGATGCCCAATAGTTTTTTGTATTACTGAAAACAGTGATCCAAAGGATGTTGATGATGCTCTGATGCCTTAAATGTGCATTTACATGTATCATGCCTCATCTACAGTAGCCTTCTTGTCTGACATGTAGAATATTTATTGTGCAGCATTGAACTTATGTTATTAGTACATATGGCTTGTGGTAGAATGGCAGTTGGACATGGACAGAGACAAGGACAGCATGGCGGACTGATGGACAGATAGTTGATCAGTTTTAAATACAGAAAGGGAAAAATGTGTGCTTATTATTATCATATTACAGGTTTCCCTTTAATTAAAGACCCCTCCAACTAAGGACCACCTCCAATTAAAGATCATTTTTCTGTGGTTTTAAATTAACAAATGTCTTTATCTTTATTATTCTAATTAGAGACCAAAGCTGCTGAAGACTATGAAATCCCAATCCCAAAAGTGGTCTTTAATTGGAGGGAGACTTGTATTTCTAAATTTCATTGAAGTTATTTTACCATTATAATATACAAAAATACATTAGATACACAATTGAAAAAAACAGGCAGGTAGAAACAAAAAATTGTAAAACATACAATAATACAAATACAACTATTAAAAGGTGCTCCCCTTCCTGATCCATTGAAATCCTCTCATGTGAAACTTTTTTTAGACAACAGAAACACTTCTGTTATAATTTCTTAATTCCTTTTCTCTGTTTTCTTCATGTTATTCTTCCAGAGAGTTGGTCATTTTGACCCGATCACGCGTGAACCTCTTACTCAAGACATGCTAGTACCAAACCTCGCTATTAAAGAGGTCATTGATGCTTTTGTTGCTGAGAACCAATGGGTTGAAGACTACTGATCAGGGTGTCATTGTAACAGGGCTAAGAAGTAATAACGTTGAATTATATAAATTGTAGATCTTGCATTACTCTTTCTCATGAAAGATCTACAATATATTATGGGATTAAACTGTTAAATACAAAATGTGGATCGTAATGCGATATTTACAACAACTTTCCTGGAAAACAAAATATTTAGGAACAGGACCTGTTAACATGTTACATACAGTACTTCACAGTTTGCATGAACACTTCATACATAAATCTTTATCTAATGCATACATGCTTTATCTAATATATCTAAACACAAGTGTGTACCAGGTGCAATGTTGTGCTGATGCGACTCTGTGACATCACTTACAGTGCACCCTCCTATTGAAAACCGCATTAGAACTGAATTGTGTTCTAATTAATTGGAAGTGGTCTGTTACGAAGATTGCACTGTTACATTATATGGAATCATTTCATTGTGGATTGCAATGAAGGAAATAATGCTGTACCAATCTGGCAGTGCACTATAGTTTCAACTAGGCATAGCCAGGGGTCCTAAGTCTCCTTTAAGTTGCGGTAATGTCATGGAAATCAGGATGGCATCCCAGACTTCCATAAGCAAGAGTTTCCTGAAAAATAACCCTCTCCACAAATTCTTGAATTCATAATATTTGCATGTTTTTAATTCTTCATTGTTACTAATTGTCTCAGTGCCGACGAGTATCACCATGAAAAGCAAAATGCTGTTATATCAAGACTTTAAAGAATTCTTATTCTTTGGTATTGATGTGGTAGATGAAATAAAACCATTCTGATTTATTAAATGAAAGAGAACCATAAGACCTGTCCAGACTGTCAAATAAATTTTTATAGTCATAGATGTGACATGCCTACATATGGTCATGATGGCATTACATCATTACCATATATAGGCACATCATGACTATGTATGGGCATTCAACAGTTGTATACAACAGAGAATTCGGTTTTTTTTATATTACATGTTCACTGTGCAATGAAAAGCTAAAATGATTCATAAATGCATTTTCTTTGTCCTTTAAGCTACCTACACATCAACAATCATCTTTAATTTATCCTTAAACTTTTTCTATTAATAGTCTGGATCTTAAACTAATCTTTCTTAAATCGTTAAGCCATAGTAAGCAACAACAACACACACCGATAAGAAAAAGAGTTACATTAATTGATGTATCTACATGAAAATTGTACAGTTTTTAAAGGAAATGCTCTTGGCGATAATACTTTTATATTTATCACCCTACAAAGCTATGAATCCTTAAAAGTGCCAACAGCTTTGGGAACTATCTCGTTTCATCTTTATTACAGCCTTCCACTGTAAACATTACCACTATTTCCAAAATGTAATCTTCCTACTTTTTTTTACCTCATTTAAACTGTTGTCTTTAAATAGTAACCAGATACGAATATTTAGGAAAAGCCAGACCCTAAATACGAAAGTTGCAATCATAAGAGTATGCATATTCCCTACAGCTATATATGGATGCGAGTCCTGAATTCTAAATGAAAAGGTGGAGGCTGCCATGAAGGTTTTTGAGATGCTACCGAAGAGTAATGGCAGTTTCCTTGGAGGGAACACACAACAAATCAATCAGTAAGAGAACAATTGGGATTGAAGAAAACTGGCTAATACACTTAATTTCAAAACTTAAATTAAGATAGTTTGGTCACTTCAAACACCACAATTGGTTAGGGAAGACATTTATGGAAGGCAGAATTGAGGGAAAGAGAGGTAGAGGATGGCCAAGGAAACGATGGGAGAAAGATATTGAAGAGCTAGTAAACATCAGCGTAGTTGAAGCATGCAGAATGGCTACAGAAAGAGCTCCCTTACGACATTTTGGAGTGTCATCAAGATTCTAGATTCAAATCTTGTGACAAGAAGAGTTTTTCTCTTGACTATAAATGTGGTATAAACAACTTCACTTCCTAAGCCTAAAGTCTTAATGTATAGAGCATCACTTCCATGCAAGTCACTTGCTGTTGGATAAGAATAAAATATACCTTAGCACACATGTCCCTATGCTAAGGAGCGTAGCGGCTATAACGATCTGCCTCCATCTTGCAAGTTCTGTCATTGATGTAGTCACAAATGTTGTTGGAGTGAAGACCAAGGTCCTAAACATCTCTTTCAACTTGGTCAAACCATCTCATACGTGGGCGGCCTCGTGGGTGGGTCCCTGTTGGTATAGTTTTAATAATAAGAATATTATGGTAGTCATTCTTTTTCTTGGGCTTCTGTCTTTCTTTGGAATGCTCTGCCTATTACAATCCGACAGGCAACTTCCATTGATGATTTTAAGGCAGCTTTAAAAACTCACCTTTTTAGCTTGTATTTTTCTTAATTTTTTTTTTCCCGAATTTTATTTTTACTGTTAAGCGCATTGAGGCTTTAGCATAATGCGCTATATAAGCCAAAATTATTATTATTATTATTATTATTATATATAGAAGTACAAATTTTACAGGTTCCTTGTAGTGTATTTCATCACCTTTGTATAATTTAACGAAGTGTCAACGACATTTGTTTAAGTACATAGTTATTTAGAAACTGTGATTTGTAATCATTAGAAAATTTAAAGAAAATGTTGGTAAAAGAAGGCAAGTTTCTGGCGAGCCGACATTTATAAAATCTTATCGCGCAATGTATTAAACACTTAAACTTGGTGCACTTCATCTTTTAACAGTCTCCGATGCCAGATATTAATTACCGTACCTTGGGTTTACATTCATCTTATGTAGTGTCCTAATCAGTATTTATGGTTAAATAATATTAAACATGTAAAGGAAAATCTACAAAAGTGGCCAGAGCTTAGATTAAATTATGTTTATGCTTTGAAATTGGATAAGTCATTAGTGCTATATCACCTTTCTGTCTGGTATTGTATGTAACAGAGATGTTTAAATAGAGGTACAACAGTGAGTTCTAAATATTTTATAATAGAGGAAACTGATATCAGTTTAGCAGATCTTATTTTAGTTGGGAAGAGTAAGATTTTGTTGGGTATTTGACAAGTATTGCTGAGATGATGGTGATGATGATGATGACGATTACGATGACAATGATGATGACGATGACGACGACGATTGCGGTAATGAGGATGATGCCAATAATGATTATGGTGACGTTGATGATGGTAATTATGGTATTTGCGATGGTGAAAACAAGTTTTTATTTGTGTTTTATTACTATTTTAAATTGTTCTCATTGTAACTGTAATGTAATCTATTCTTATTTTATCATTCATCAAATATTTATTTTTTGAGAAGTGTTGCGTATCCTTTTCTCATCATGTATCTCCAATCACTCGTTTGTGTACATCAAAATTGAATCACTTTTCAAAGATTCAATTTTCTTGTACCGTACTGTATCTTCGTGAATAGTAAGAGCTAGACGACTTCAAATTATGTTTTAGAGGTCTTCCATTTGATTTTCATTTAATTTAGCTTAAAGTCAATCACTTACTAGTAATGTGATAAATAATTTTGAGAAACAATGTTCTCTCTTTTTGAAAGTAAACTCAGTGTGTGATGCAACAGCATGAGAATCAGCAGAAGCAGTTTCACACGAGCTCTTCCACACAAGTCTCCTACCGAAAAAAAAGTTGGGTTGTTGGAAGCTCTGTCCACACTATTTAGTAGTTAATTTTCGATGCACGACGTTAACCTTAACTTTAACGTTAGTACCCAACATGCAACGCGATAACTCCGCCCCTTTTGTAAACAAATCGAAATACGCATGCGCAAACCCGTACCTAACGTCCGTCGAGCACGTAAAATCCTGAAATTAACGTACTCCGCAACGCAAGATGAATAAATTATGACGTCATCTGTTAACGGTAAGCCGGTTTTCCACTAGGCGAATTTATTCGCGCGAATCAAACGTCGGTTCGCTTCCTGAGCTTTGATTGGTTGCGCATTTTTTCGCTTCGCAAAAAATCCGATAGGAATGTGAATGCGCATGCACATGAACCGACGCTTTCGATTCGCACGAACAAATTCGCCAAGTGGAAAACCGGCTTTAGGGCTACCTTTGCGTTTGTTACGCTTCTTATTTCAAGTGGTTAACACGAAAATCATGACTTGTGCGTTTCTTGAGTTGTGTCAATGACGCATCCAAAAAACTAAACTTTCCATGTCTGCAATGTATTTATTTAAGAAACAAAATTACTCATAAACGCACGTTGTCATTTCATCTCTATAATTCAAAGTCCTCTGGTGCATTCAAATAACAAGTGAAGTAAGGTCGATTTATTCATTGACTTTTTAAACTGCGTGTAAATGGGTAATTTCACAGTAAATGAACAAGCTATGCACTGTTTATTAGCAAGATGTATTAATATAGGATTGATATACATTACATTTCTTTAGAAAAAATGTGATTGTGCATTTTCTTAGCCATATACCTATACCACCGGTCAGAAGGCAAGGGATATGATTTGTGTATTTTAATACGAACTTAGTTCCGAAAAATCATTCCATTACCATATCTTATTAACACTTCGAAAACAATGATATACCTTTTGTTACACTAAGCCTGAATGCATTCTATCTATTTTCATGTAAATGTCACACTTTCCTGTTCGGTAACTGCGAAATAACCAAATACTTAATAATTTACGTAGATGTGGCACGTTCGTGTCCATCTGTTGTGAAAGAGGCCTCTAGTCCTTTTCTAGTTTCCCACATTGGAGCTGGTAAACACAGGTGCTACAAATTTCTCATGACTAAGTATATTATATTAAAAATCGTTTCTCTAAATTAAAATAATTTTGATTTTTAATCAATGTAAATGATCTTGATAAGTTCGTAAATGTATAATTCATGGCGTATGACCCTATCATGACCCCTAATGTTGCCATGTAACATCTTGTTTTGTCCAGTAATAAATATTGTTAAAGTGCTTTTTTTCTCTCATGGTTTGACCATGTTTAACCGTCAGAATCCATCCAGCTGCTGTTTTGATACCAGTTTTAGTTATTTATGAGCTTACAACACCTTTTAACGTAGTACATTATTATTTTACACTAAGCAAATGTAGGCTTGGCATTAAATTTGCCCATAGGTAAAATTACAAACGTTTTAATCGTTAAAATGTGCACTTTTAAGTGCAAGTAAATGTCACAGTACACCAAACCATTAAAATCCGTCATCAACACAAATGCTAATGATGAACAAGTGTGTATCTGTACTGCCAAGTGAATTGGGAGCTTTCTATTTGCGCGACGACGAACACCAGAACGAATTCACTCGTTCTCTGCGCACAACGTAGATTTGGCCAAACTGCGTCCTAGCTATATAATCCAGGCGACAACGTTCTCGCATGCGCAGGTGACTTTTAGTGACGTCATTACGCTCTACGTCCTTCCGTCGCCGTGCAAAATCGAAAGCTCACAATTGTGTGTATAATTATTGAACTATTGCATTATTTTATGTTTAGGTTCTGTAATTGAGCATTTCGTATTTGTGTTTCCGTAATAAGCATTAAAGATGAGTGACTATTAAATGCAAGCCTGAGTTTTTTTATTTAATTTTATTTTTCGTACTGTGGATACAATAAGCATACATGAAAGTTCTTTCGATATACTGTACAATGTCTTATGATAACTACTGTTACAGTTCGCCTTCTAAATCCAGAACAAAGTACAGCACCAGCTAACAGTCCAATCTTGAAAAACACATCTAACTATCTAACTGGAGACCGAAACCTGCGACCCCGTCATCAACACAAATGCTAATGATGAACAAGTGTGTATCTGTACTGCCAAGTGAATTGGGAGCTTTCTATTTGCGCGACGACGGACACCAGAACGAATTCACTCGTTCTCTGCTACATTAATAAAAGTACAAAAAATCAGTTTCGTGCCTCCGTTTGATGATTAAAGAATTCTTAGTTCGCGCAACGTGTGTCAAAGAAAAGTCTGAAGCTCAGGTGACAAGTTTGTGAAAGGCGAGTTGAAAATAAAGAGCAAAATAATAACACGTATTGCGTA